AACCCAGCTGATGCTGGGGTGCTTTTAGTGTTCAAGGATTTGGCTTGCGCAGCAGGGAAAGGCAGAGCGTTAATGAGAATATCATTTGTTCAGTGGCTTCTGCATTGTGAGCAGCAGCTCTGAACTGCTTCTCCAAGTTTTGTTGCAGAAAAATGTTAATTGAATTCCAGTTTGTGCAAGATGTAAGCCTAGAAGTAGCAAGCATATCTTTAACTTCTTGTTCCCTGTAAGGATATGTGAAAGGATGGAGGTGAAGGGCTATGATCCATGGCACTTAAATTAGAGGAAATCTTTCTTTGCTTTAATTGCTTCGGATTGGAGCTTGCACAGCAAATCCATCCTAGAGTCTTTCAGTGAGCAAAGTATGTGATATTTTTCATTTTCAGAGCTCTTGCAATATGTAGATAATATTTTAAATAATTTCACATCTAACTTAAGCTCTGATCTTGTCTGGCAGGTCTGTCTTCAGTGTATTACACCAGCAGGACACAAAAAGGACACTGTACACTGAGATATCAAGTTGAAATGTGGAAGCATGGCCCTTCTGTGGTCACCTGTCAGCTACTAAAGACACAGCACGAGAATCCAGTCCTTAATGTATACTGGCTTTGTGAATTCTGAGCAGCAGGAACACATACCACACACCCACTAATATGTCCTGCTGCTTTCAGTGTGGAAACCCTTTGAGCCAACTGAGTGAAAAACAGGGCACGACTCTGGCCTTGTTATGCTGAGATCTACAAACCCCAGGACTGGGGAGGCAGAGAGAAAGGCTGGGAACTTGGCACACACAGACTTTTCCCAGCACCACAGAGCACAAGCTTTACTGTGATGGGAACAGCAGGTGCTGGGCCCTGGGACACTAATGAGCCTTAAGGGTCCTCATCAGCTCCCCACTGGGTACTATTTAGCAGGCTTGGCCCTGCAGCTGAGTTTCTAGTGGTTTCCTGTCCTTTAGGGAGCAGTTGGCCCTTGTCGTACCCTGACAGCGGGACTTGGGAGCAACTTTAGTTCTCTTCTCTAAGTACTGTCAAAGAGCAGATGATCACAGGACGGAGAGGGATGGATCGCACAGGAGAGCGGTCAGTGGGTGTTGAAAGCCCAGGTGAAGAGGAAAGGTTTTCCTCCCAGCCCCTGTGGACAAAGAACAGCTACAGAGGAGCCCAGCACCTGCAGGAGGGTTGCCGGTAACTGTGAGTCCACAATGCCGGGTCTGAGGCTGCTATTTTGTGTCCTTATGTCAGGGTGAAACTGTTGTGGCCTGAAGAAGTTGCAAGTTAGAGCAGAGAGAAACAGACCTTTGCCTTGTTCTCTTTTCACCCATGTGAGATTAACAGAAAACAAAGTTAGCAGGGGAGTCAGAAAGAGAAGTTGAGCAGCAAAACTAG